TTCTTTCACCCTTGTGCCCAGCTGGTTGGCCATTGCCCTGGTTCAGATCATTTTTCAGATGCCTTTAGCTGAGCTGTCCCACACCATCACCTCCAACTGCTAAAAGCTACAGACGTGTTCATTTTTAATTTTTTTTTAAACACTTCCGCAACACTGGAGTGCATCGAGGCAGGGGGGGTAAGCAGGATCAGCCCCTTGCTGGAGCAGCACCAGCGGGGTTTGCTCACCTTGCAGAGGTGAGGGAGTTGGAAGGGTTTGGCTCATGGGAAAAAAAAAAAAAAAGAAAGAAAAAGAAAGAAAATCAGTCTGCTGTGAACTCGCCACTCTCTCTGCAGTGTCTGTACGTGTCGCTCCCTGCCCTGCTGGAGTGCAACCCCTTCCAGAATGAGTGCCGGGAGAGCTGGCGGGCATCCCCGCCGCTGCCCGAGGAGCTCCGTAGGGTCGTGCTCATCTACCAGGCGACGCTGGACCTGCTCCGCCAGTACGAAGTGCACCCAGAGATCACCTCCCAGATGTTCGCCTACCTCTTCTTCTTCTCCAACACCCTGCTCTTCAACCAGCTCCTGGATAAGGGTCAGTCCTCCTCGAACACCCAGCCCAGACTGGGTAACCCACAGGGGACCAGCCCTTTGGGAGACCCTCCAGTACATCCCAGTGCCACCTTGGGGGGTACAGGGGAGGGAGGGGGCTTCAAGCACCTTGAGGGGACTGGAGACGGGCAGGTCTCAGCGCTGTTATGGGGAGGCCAAGCACAGACCCAGCTGCTCAGTCCCCATTCCCAGGAGGGGGTTTAACCCCCCGAGTGCCCCATCCTCACCCCTGCAAGAGAGCTGCCCTTTGGAGCTTGAGCAGAGGAGGCTGAGAGCAGTTCAGAGGGGCAGCTCATTAACAAATTACTGCAGCCTGCTTTGTAACTGAGGTGCTCGTTAGTGCTCATTAACACGGCAGCCCCATTGCCTGCTGTTAGTGCCAGGCGAGGTCCAGCCCCCACCAGGAGTTACAGCTATAGGATGCTGGGGACATCAACCTGGATTTATTTTCCTGTTCTGGGGCAGCTGTACCCCTGGGGCAGGGGCTGGGCTCTGGCCGAAGGCTGGAGGGCTGTTCCCCAACATGTGCTGATGGATGCTCTGCCTCCGCAGGGTCC